GTTGGCAGCATAGGGGATCAAAATCTGGTTCTTGTATTCCTTTAGAAGGTGATTGAAATCAGAGAGGAATAAATCAAAAGAGGAGCGGGAAGATCAAATGAAAGTTGCCGAATATAAGTAAAGTTTACCTCTGGGATTTCATCCTAGGTCGCCATTGAAGATTCGAAGTAGATCCGAGGTTGCGCTGAAAGCTTGAATTTTCTTTGGGCAACGGCTGCGGTATTGAACGGTGCTGACCTAGGAGGAAGAAAGAGCTTGTGGTCAATTTCAGAATAAAACAACTTTTATCCCGAAATTGAGGGGGCATGTGTTAACACTAGATTTTGGTCGATTCTGGAGGATGACAGGTGGACCCGCATACGGGAAGAAGGGTGTTCGGCAAACAAAATAGGCGGTCGGCTAAATGCTTGTGCGGTCGGTTACTCCAGAAGGCGGTAACTCCATTCGGGAAAACAGAAGATGGTAGGCAAGGCCGATCGGAAAGATGAAAGTTGTAATAATAAAGGAATCTAAAAGTTTAGGGTAAGGAATCGTAAGTTTCCAAGTTTGTTTTAAAGTTCCTTTGTAAATCGTAGTCCTCTAGGACTCGTGTTTTGTCTAGGGTATAAATATTGACCCTCGACCATTGTAATGAGGGTTCACAACCAAATCAATACAACCGGCCCCGTGCCAACTTTCGAGTCCCTTTGTCGTGTCATCGAGTTCTTCGAGAGGAGTCATCGATCCGTCGACCTCCGTAAGTTCCGACAACCTTGTTATCATGTTTAGTATCATGCGGTGGATTTAGACGTGATGCAAGTAGTCTTGTTTGTTTTCAATGGTCGTGCGGCGGATCTTTGCTTGACAATCAAGAAGTCTTTGCTTATGCTTTGTTTATGAGTAGATACCGTGCGGCAGGCGTTTGCTCAATATGCTTAGTGAAAGCAAGATAGTTATCGGCTCTATTAGATATGGCAAGTCTAAATAGATTCATTAAGTTATCTAGTGTTGCATGTTTTAAACATTTTATATATTTGTAACACACTTCTGCCCAATCTAGATTGATATCGTTCGGCTCTCTCTCTCTCTTATGGTTTTATTCGTGCTTCAACGATCATCACTTTTCATATTACCTTTGCAAATAGATAGCATGCTCATAATGGCTGAATTATCTTAATCTAGATTGTCACATGTCGCGGGTTCATGCATGTTAATCACGTTTAAGCTTTAACGAAACCAGGTGTCGTGCGGCAGATGTAGGTTTTAGATTAGTTTAATCGTTTTTTATTTGTACGTTCCTTCTTCATGGACCCCAATTCGGCTGGACTGCCGAACTTGGTTACACATTAACTCGTAATTAATTTCACTTGTTCAAATACGTCTTCCCATGCACATGCATTCGGCAATTAGGTCTTTACGTGCGTTCATCTCACGATTAGCTGAATGGTCTATGAACTTGTTGGCAGACAGCTCTCTATAGCTGTATGTCGTTGTAAGTGGCTTCAGGGCCGTATATGCGGAACTGTCTGGTATTACCCGACATGTTTCGGTTTGACATTTAATTGTTCTATCCCTTGTTAGTTTTCAGGTCAAACTGACTGGCACGCTTCCAGATCACGAAGCACCCGGGAACCCGATTGAATCCACGCTTTTCGGCTTGTTGTGTGTGAGGCACAGTGCGTCACATTTTGTGCCAACACAGACATACGACAACCACTACGTTCCAAGGGGGGACTCCCGTCCTCTACAGTGGCGAACGAGCAGTCACCGCGCCGTCCGCTCCCCACGGGGTCACAGATCGACTCCCTTGTCCGACACGCCGCCCGCGGGGACGGGATGGGACGTGATCACTTGCAAAGCATGGCATCATCAATGCATGCACGCCCGGCGAACGTGCCATCTCTGACACCGTCTGGCTGTGTCAGGGAGGCTGGCTCAGAGGAAAAGAAAGACCCAGCGCCTTCGGAGGGGCTTCTTGGCCTCTGGTTTTTTCTCCCTTCTCCGACATGTAAACCCTGCCCCCTCCCTTGGTCTATAAAAGGGAGGGCAGGACGCCCCGCTGGAAAGGGGGACGACTCACACAAAGACCAGTTCGACACAGGCACAACACATCACGCACGCAGCCAAGCAGCGACCAGGCTCTTGGCATCCTTTCGACCCTTCCATCAGAGACCTAGGACCAGTCTCTCTCTCGACCGTTTGTACCCCCTACTACGAACTATTTTCGGTGCTAATAACACGAGCAGCAACAGACTGGACGTAGGGACATTCAGCCCGAACCAGTATAAACCTTGTGTCCTTTAGCGCACCATCCGGACCTAACGCGCATAAATATAAATTTACTATCCGGTGTTTGTTCGAAACACCGACACATAGTATCAAGAAATTGTAGTTTTATAATCATTGATGTGCAAAACTGTGGTTTAGAAAAAAAAAGGTCTAAAGTGGAGTTTTTAAAATTCCCAAAAGACTACAGTTTCCACCATAGAGTTTGTTGCACTCAAACACTTCATGGCACTCTACAATCAAAGTATTTCACAAAACCATAGTATTTTTCTAAAACTTCAAAAATACTTTATAACCAAACAGGGACTAAACTGTGAACATCGAGCTATACAACCATTTAAACGGGCTACATGGCCGACCAGCTACACTAGTGAGTGTTAGTAGTTGAACAGGCTGAGAGAAGACATCAAAATTACTACATAGAAAGCCAACCACCTTCTTCCCGTGATAATCACACCAACTATCAAGACTAGAAGAGAGCCAACAAATCCGATAGAATATGCTCTCATAGTCCGCACATCCTGTTGTTATTAATCATCAAAACTCACCAAAGCACATATGCTTGGGTTCTAGACCCATTTCACTAGACATAGAGATTATTATATGCCAAGTACCATCAAAAGTAAGTGTTTTCGAAGATGGAACGCCTAGTGCTTTTTTACCTAGAGAATTAATAAGAATTAATAGGACTATTGCGAGGAAAATGAGCGGGGGTGAGCTTTGGTTGAATCGATCTATTATCGGGGTATTATATTTGTTGATACCGAATAAAAAAATGCACATCGTTCCCCACAAAACATGAACCTTTATTTCAAAATTGAAAAAAAAATACCATGCCTAAAATGGGAGATATTTTGTTTCTACATATAGAATTAGTTTCTTCTGCTTGTAACATGACACCAATTTCTATGAGACATAAGACACCATGTTTACCCCTATTTATTTATATGATTTAAATCATTTACCCCATATTTATACGATTTAAGTATACATAAAGCATTTTTACTTTAATTTAAACTATACTTTTGACGTTAGAATGCTAATAGGTTCAACATTTTATTTGTAATTTAATTTTGATAAGTAAAAGGAAGTCAATTAATTCATTAATGCTATGTTTATACCATGTAGTGTATTGATGGTCAATTATGAGTAGAAGGTTCAGTTGGAACAATTATTATTTATTTCAAGCTATTTTGACTCTCTCATAATCTTAAAAATAAATTAATTTTGCAATGATGAGACAAAAAGAAAAAGAAAAAAAGAAAGTACGGACAAAATGACAAGGAGATATTGAAACATCAATTTCAAATAGATGATAGAGCGGGAGTTCATTTTGGTGATGGTATTAAGAAATGAAATCCTAATGGTGTCTTACATCTCAGCAAAGAATAAAGGTACTCATATTACAAATCTTGCTAGAACAACTCGTTTTTTATCAAAAGCTTGTGGTTTAGTTTTTAATGCAACAAGTCAAGAAAAAAAATATTAATTGTTGATGCAAAGAAGAGTAGCAGATTTAGTAAAATTAGTCGTAACGAGGTCTTGTTGTCATTATATTAATAAAAAGTGGTTCAATTGTATGTTATTCCCTCCGTTCCAAATTATAAGTCGCTTTGATTTTTTTGGTTCATCCATTATATCTAGATACATAGCAAAATGGATGTACCAAAAAAGTCAAAGCGACTTATAATTTGAAACGGAGGGAGTAATGAATTGGTTGATTACCAAAACTAGACTTTCTCAATTTAGAGACTTAAGAGCAAAAGAAAAAATGAGAAGTTCCAAAATCTCCCAAAACATAGATGCAGAATATTAAAGATAAAATTATCAACCTTGCAAAGATACCTTGATGGGATCAAATGTATGATGAGGTTGCTTGGTATTGTCATCGTCCTTGACTAACCAGCAAAAAAGAGTATATAGCTCTTCGGGAACATGCCATTTTGGGAATTCCTACTGTTTTTTAGTCGATACAAATTGTGATCAAACTCTTGTGAATATAGTGATTCATACCAACGATGACACCTTTTTCAATTCAATTAATTCTTAACAGATTAGTATTTGCAATTGTTGGGAGATGTTCTCTCTATACATAAGAAATGATTGATTAAGAAGAAGAATTAATTCTTGAGCAACTGCATAGATTTATAGGATTAGTTACTATTATTTTTGGTTGTGCACAGATAAAAAGAAGGGGGTATTGATATATATTAGAGTTTATTGATACATATTATATATGATGTGATTTCTTGGTATCCTAAATATAAGATTAATACTTCGAGTTGTTGTTTTGAGAAAGAGATGCTTAATCGAAATAATTACTTTGAAGTTATCTTTTTATCAAGGACACAATACAATGTTAGTTTCACAGATTATTTTGTCAATGCAAAAGGAATCACAAAACTATCAAGAAAGGACAGATTTGAGTGGGCCCAAAGTTAGCATAGGAATTCTGGGTGCCTTCCTTTTCGGCCCAACAGTAACTAACTAGAAAGCCTTTAAGCCGAGGATGCGTACAGGCCCAGCCCATATTGAAGCTCACTCTGTTGGTCTCACTGGCATCGTCCCATCTCCCTTGAACCCTTTCGCCCACACGACAGCACCGCAGCTGGAGGTGGTGGGAAAGGCTGCGGCGGCGGCGGCTAGGAAACCGAGGAAGCTAGAGCCATGGTGGTACGGATCCGGCTGGCGCGGTTCGGGTGCCGGAACCGGCCCTTCTACCGGCCTACCGGGTGATGGCCGCTGACAGCCGCTCTCCGCGCGACGGCAAGCACCTTGAGGTCCTCGGCTACTACAACCCGCTCCCTGGTTGGGTTACGATCCTACCCCTCTAGCCCCTCGATTTCTCCCTTAAGATTGATTGATCCGTTTCTTTACCGTCACAAGAACCATTTTCTGCTGCTGCTGTTGGCCTGCTTATTGATGACTGAATATACCTGATGAAAGATGAATCTTTTTTCCTTGTTGCCGTGTGCAGGCAAGGATGGAGGCAAGAGGATGGGCCTGAAATTCGACCGGGTGAAGTAAGTTTCACTTGCTTAAATTTGGGTTTGTTGCAGCTGTTATTGCACCTAGTGCAAAATTTAACTCCTATATCTTCAGTCAAGCATTTTAGAACTAAACGTTGGATTGGTTCTAGAAGCATATAAAAAATTTAAAGGGGACTAATTCATACAGTTGTATTAACCATACATAGATTAGGGTGGTAGACCTTACCATTGCGGATGTCAGGAACAGGAAGGAGGGAGCTTCACCCTTCTATTTGATTATGCTGTGCCAATTGCCAAGCATTGCTGTACCGACCTCTCTATGGGAAGTATATTTGTTTCTTTTTTTCTAGCGAAACTAAGTGGGCAAGAATCAAGATGATAGGTGAAGAAAGTAAAATTTATATATGAAGTGTGTAAGATGTACTTGGAAGCATAAGTAGTAGAGATAATGCCTTTGGTCCTATATTATCTACTTTCTATGTTTTATCGTTTGGTCAAGAATAAATAATACAAGCATATCAACATGAGAAAATTCTCTATTTGACACTAGAATAACTTCTTCCCTATTTAACAACGAAACTTAAATCTTCTCTATCTGTTACCATCTTACCCTTACTACGTGTGTTTTCATGCGTGCTATGTTCATGTTGCGGCATATTTTTTGTCTCGTTTATTTATTTGCATATGTTTTTTTCAGAACACCTGAACACAGCACGTCTAAAAGAAAACATAGGAGGGGTAAGATGTTCTGTTTACCTTTGACTTAACGTTGTAGCCAAAAAGTAACTGAAGTGTCAAATAGGGAACAAAAGATGAAATAGGTGACAGGTAGGGAAGATTTTAAGTTTTGATGTCAAATAGGGAAGGGGAAGTTTTTCTAGTGTCAAATAGGGAACTTTCTAACATTGATATCTTTAGTCAAGTTACATTTAAGTATGTCGAGCTGTTTTTTTTTCCCTTTATCTATTTCCTGCATTGAAGTCCATGTAACAAAGAATAACTTTCTTCTACTGTAGGTATTGGCTGTCAATTGGGGCACCATCAGATCCTGTGCAGAGTATTCTCTTTGGTGCCAGACTTCTGCCACCACCTCCAATGCTAGCTATGGCACGGAAGAGTGGGCCACGTGATAGGCGCCCCATTCATCCAATGACTGGGCGCCCCCTTGGATCTTGAGGGCGTCACAATTGTCGATGACTCCAATGCACCTGAAGGCGATGCTGAAGAGCCTACAGATGAGGTGGCTTCATAAGGCTTTTATATTAGCATATGAAAATATGATGTATTTTCTATTTAGCATATGTAGTGGTGCTGCAAAAGAAAACTTGTTTGTTGTGCTTCTGACGACTTTGAGTACTAGTACAATGTGGCAAACTTTTAGCCATCTTTCATCCAATTTTCTTCTAAAAAAATGGCAGTGCCATTGTTTGTTCTCCTAGAAAATGTAAAACCAATGCCATGTGCATCTGTGGCTCTTGTTCTGCATCACCATCAGCTTTTGGTCTCTAGTATTCTCTGCACTTTTTTTTTTTGAAAGAAAAAGGGCAGGAGCTCTGCCTTGCATTTAAGTAAACTGCACTTGGCTAATAAGATTTGCATGTGAAATGGAATATGCATGATAAGTTGGGCCTTGATGAATTCTTTGTGATCACTTTTTGGATGCTTGCTTAAATTGAGACTGCTAATATGTATTATTGCTCTCGTATCAAACGATGCTATGCATGCTGAGGTGACTTGGAAGATAGGCGAGATGCTCTACCTAGTATGCACTAACAGTTTCTGCAGAGCAAGCATAATAAGTTTGCTAGATCCTGTATGATCTATTATGTGTTGTCCAATCAGACTGATGCGTCTACGTGAATGCGTCATCCTTGTGCCTGTTTGTTCACGCAGATGCTTTCTTGTGGGATTCCTTACTTGTAGTGGGAAGTTCTTACTGTCGTAGCATGTTTACCTCCTGAAGTATCTTCTCAGGATTGTATCGTAGATTAATAATTCACAGGCTATGCCCAAAACACTTGGAATTTAATTGAAGGCTTGTTACATATGATTTTAGATCACACTTCAAAGAATAACTGAAATTCCTGGATGCGAGATAATTCCAGTGTAGTACAAGAGAACTGCAAGTCTGACTAACAGGTTAAGATCAATTCCTGCAGTCATGTTTCTCTGCAGTCTGCACGTCCAGCTACAGTACTGAAAATTGCAACCTGTCCTAGTTCAGACAAAAGTTCAGTTCTCAGTAATGTTCAGCCTCTATAAACACCGTAGATTGGTTCAGACCGGCAAACACAAAGTATATCTGGATAGGAATTAAGGCATATACACAATCACAAGCTTTACCAGCATGGGCCAAACAACTCATGTTAACATCATCAGCTTGCCGCATCTAAAAGGTATTTCTTCTTTCCCAGGCCACCCCATCCATGCGACATGCTAAACCAAGCTCACCAAGAAAAGCTGTCTTGACAGCACTTGGCTTTGCCTCCCTCGCCAGTCGCCTGCCTCGAGCTTTAAATCTCTCAAGGATGCCTCCGATGCATTCCCCTTTCTCCCTCGGATTTACATCGGCTGGCAGATTTGCCATATCCAAATCAGTAGCATGGGAGAACAACCAAGAACTCGTCAGCTGTTTCTACTTGCTCTGGTGTTCGCGCAATGGCACCATGTTTCGATGGCCATGACGTTCACTATCTCCAACTACTGCTCCCACCCGATATGGCCGGGGACGCTCGCCGGCGCCGGCACGTCGCAGCTTTCCACGACGGGGTTCAAGCTTGAGCCTGGGCAGACGGTCCAGCTCCCGGCGCCGGTGGGGTGGTCGGGGCGGATATGGGCGCGGACGGGGTGCGTGTTCGACGCGGACGGCGCGGGCGTGTGCCAGACGGGCGACTGCGGCGGGCGGATGGAGTGCCGCGGCTCCGGCGCCACGCCGCCGGCCACGCTGTTCGAGGTCACCCTGGGGCAGGGCAGCAGTCAGGACTTCTACGACGTGAGCCTCGTCGACGGCTACAACCTGCCGGTCGTCGCGATCCCGCGGGCGCGCCAGGGCGCGTGCAACGCCACCGGATGCATGGCCGACCTCAACCGATGTGAGTGCCGCTGTCCGGTTGCTACTCCGGCGGCAACCTTTTAGGCTTTCGCATTGCCATCGTCCGGGTCCGGCTGACTTCGTTTCGTTTTAGCGTGCCCGAGGGAGCTGCAGGTGGACTGCGGCGGCGGCGCCATCGCGTGCCGGAGCGCGTGCGAGGCGTTCGGGCAGGACAGGTACTGCTGCAGCGGCGCGTACGGGACGCCGGACGCGTGCCACCCGACGGTGTACTCGTCCATCTTCAAGTCGGCGTGCCCGCGCGCGTACAGCTACGCCTACGACGACAGCACCAGCACCTTCACCTGCAAGGCGCTGGACTACACCATCGCCTTCTGCCTCCCGACGTCCGGGTAATTTTATAAATTATTATAAACCTCCCCAGATCGACCTGCCATTGTCAATGTACGACAGCACGCCAGCACGCATGTATTTGCTTGGTTGTTCTCATCATCTGTCTCTGCAGGATAAAGAGGTCGGATGCGGTGTTTCTCGGAGCACAGATGGACGACGGCCAGAGCACCGGCGATGGCAATGCGCCGCCGATCTACAACAACGGCGGTTTCAAACCGCCGATCTACAACTACGGCGGCGGAGGTTCTCGTGTGCCGGCGACGACAACCTCGTCGGCGAGCAAAAGATACATCCAGCCGCGGGTCCCGCTACTGCTAGTGCTTGTCTTCTTTTTCTGACGGCGCTCGGTTGATCTTGTTCGCGGATTGCCTTCTCGACGAATTTAGGGAAGAAATGGAAGATCTGAGCACAGGTGAACATGTTAGCAGTTATGGATCGAGGAAAAGACCCAAGAGACTGAAGAAACCTTTTCTGGAATTGGCTTCGTGCTATTAGCGGAAATTGTCTGTCTAACTAGTGGATTAGATGCTAGTGAATACAAGGGAAAACTGTTGTATAGATTTGTAAATCATTGATTCATTTTAATTGCAGACAGATTGAGCTAAACACACGCAGTGTTTCCTTCTGCAGATGCAGAAGGTGAGTTTTCAGTTTTCACTGTTTTCCGTACTCTGCATTCTGCTTCTGCACGCAGCACGCCTGACGGCCTGAGCCAAGCTCTGTACTCTGTGCGGGCCTCCCAAGCCCTCCAAAGTGGGGCGGGTCTGCGCCGCCAACCCCACAAGCCCACCAGAGTGACCTGGCTTGGGGCCCGGCGCCCATGCGCTGAGGTCAGTAATCGAGCGAAGAGATACCCTAATTCAGGGGTTGATTAGAAGGATTGGCACGGGGGAGCAAACTAATGTTTGGTCTTCAAATTGGCTACCAAGAGATGGCCTGATGAGGCCGGTATGCTGTGTTAAAAATGACCCCCCTCGGAAGGTTAGCGAGCTGATTGATCAGACTCTTCGGAGATGGGACAAGCAGCTGGTGAATGATTTTTTTCTTACTGATGGATGCCGAAGTTATCACGAGTATCCCTCTCTGTACTTCGGGGCAAGGTGATTTTTGGGCATGGCACTACGAGAAGTCGGGGCTGTTCACAGTAAGATCGGCTTACAGAATGCTGGTGCACACAAGAGAGAGGAGATCGAACTGGTTAGAGCACACGGCTGGCAGATCAAATACTAGGGAAGAAGGGAAGGAGTGGGCTGCTTTTATGGAAGGTGCAAGTGCCGTCCAAGGTGAGGTCTTCCTCTGGCAGCTAGCACGACAGTCTATTCCTACGCAGGATGTCCGGCATCGGAGAAACATGGCGGACAAGAGCCGGTGCAGTACGTGTTTACGGCGGCCCGGATTCCTGGAAACACTCCCTCCTGGAGTGTCATGTGGCGAAGGCCATCTAGGAGTTGGAGCGAGATGAGATCGCGGGAGCAATATGTATGATCAGTGAAGGAGATGCGAGAGCTTGCTTAACGGCAGTGTGGAAAACTTTGTCTCATGAGGTAATCACATGGGTCGTGATCCCCTTGTGGGCGATTTGGCATGCAAGACGAATGGTGATTCACGAGAATGTTTTCCAAAGCTCCTTATCCACACACTTCTTTGTGGAGAAGTATCTGGAAGAGCTCATGGTGACCAAGCCGGCTCAGGAGAGCAGCGCGGACGGACTGCCAGTGTCGTCGTCGAGATGGCTACCCCCACCGCCTGGTCTTGCAAAAATAAATGTTGATGGAGCAATGGCAAAGACCTCTGATCTTTCTGTCGCTACTGCAGTGGCGAGAGATGAAGCAGGGAATTTTTTGGGAGCATCAGTGCTAGTGTTGGAAGGCATAACCAGCCCGGAAGTAGTGGAAACAATAGCTTGCCGGGAGGGTTTGGCGTTGGCATCGGACCTGCTACTCCACAAGTTTAGGGTGGCTTGCGACTATATCAATGCATTGAAGAATATCCATGGAGAGGGAATGGGGCTGTATGGGCCAATAGTGAAGGAGAACGAGGAGAGCAACCTTCCCCCATGTGGAGTTCGTCCATGAACGAAGAAGTTCGAACGTGGATGCACATAGACTAGCTAGGAGCTCTGTATCCATGTCTCTTGGTAGACATATCTGGTTTTTGTCGCCACCTGATGGTGTTTGTAATTCAATAATGAGCTAATAAAGGCCAGCTTTCCTAAAAAAAAACTTCAACTCAACTCCCGACGCCGTGGCCACAGCGCAGCAGAAACGCAAACCCTTAAACCCTAACAGTACTCGCCGCCCCATCTCCTCCACTCCTGTCCTCTCCGATCCATCCGCGACGCCGGAACTAGCCCCCAAGCACCACCTTCTCGCCGTCGGGCCCCAAGTCTCTGCCTGCTTGGACGCGTGGTTGCGCCTCCGCGGCGGCGGAGCTGGAGGGAGCACGGATGAAAACGGTCGAACTCGGTCGAAAAACTCCTCAACCGTTTTCTACTTTTACATTTGAAATACGAAAGCAAAAGTGAAAGCGGACAAGCCGGACACGAAAACGAACACGAACTTACGGAATATCTAGAATTTTGGAAACGAACAAATTCGAGCGGAATTATGTCGAACACGGTCGGTATGCGAAAATTCAATACGAAATACCGACCCACAGTGCATAGCATTAAACAAGTGCATGACTAAATACATAACAAGTTCACAACTAACAAGTGCATGATCTAGTTCAAGTGCATAGCATTAAACAAGTGCACGACCAAATACATAATAAGAGAGATAAGGCTGGACGCCGTCTATAAGAGAGGGCAGCTAGCCACCAGTAGAAATAACGCAGCTGCGTGGTGAGCAGCCTGTAATTGGGCTGTATGACCTGTGCAGTTGACCAAATTTGGTTTAAACCGAATTTTGAATTCGGAATATTTCAAATTAAAAGTAGAAAAGTAGAAAACGGTCGAAAAATGTGTAAACCGTTTTCTACTTTTACATTTAAAATACGAAACATCTCAAATACAAAAGCGAAAACGGTAAAGTCGGACAAGAAAATACAGATTCGATCGAATTAAATATAGAAAACGATGCGGTTCGATTCGGGATATTTCCGTTCCATTTTCATCCCTAGTCTCGGGCGTTCAAAAGGCGCCCTCGCGCGCGCGAGTTCATCCAGATCCGACCCAGGTGAACTCCGGTGCGTGTGGGTCCCAGTTGTGGAAATCCGTGCGGTGGGTGATCTCCACCGATGTGGTTCGGGGGGTGGTATGACGTCGATTTCTGCTGGTGGTTGTCTGCGCAGTTTTGCGGGGTGCGGAATTTGCATTGTATGATTTGTATCTGCGACGAGGGAGGAAGACAGGCCGGGTTCATCGGAGCCCTCGGTGTTTTCGCTGAGTCAAGCAGAGCGATCAGCGTTCAGCGAGGACAGTGTGCCGCGGAATGGCTGCGTCCGACTCCGATGGTGACGGCCACCGCCGTTTCGACGTGATCGTGGTGGGAGCGGGCGTCATGGGCAGCTGCGCGGCGTACGCGGCGGCCTCCCGCGGCGCGCGCGTGCTGCTGCTGGAGCGTTTCGACCGCCTCCACGTCCTCGGCTCCTCGCACGGCGAGTCCCGCGGCACCCGCTCCACCTGCGCCAAGGCGTACTACACGCCCATGCTGCGCCTGGCGCGCCGCCTCTGGGACGATGCCCAGGCCGAGGCGGGGGACCGCGTGCTTACGCCCACTCCGCACCTAGATTTGGGTTCGTGGGAGGACCCGGCGCTCCTCGCCGCCCTCAGGAACGGCGGCGCCACCGAGGTCGTGTCGAGGGCTCGGCCTGGCCGGGGGCAGGCGTGTTCAGGGTGCCCGACGGGTGGATGGCGGCGGCGAGCGAGCTCGGCGGCGTGATACAGGCGACCAAGGCGGTTAAGATGTTCCAGGATCTCGCCAGCAAGAAGGGCGCCGTCGTGAAGGACAGGACGGAGGTGGTCGATGTCATTAAGCGAGGTGAGCGCGGGCGTCGCTCTTGTCTTCTTCCTGCCCTGAAGTCATTTCAAATCTGACATTCTTGTTCTTGCTACGGAAGAGTAGATTTCAATTCTTGGCAAGTTTGAAAACCAAAATTCGAACTAAATCCAAAGAACATTTGATCAACCCGATCGAGTGACTTCACTAATACTTAAAATTTGCTTTTCGCTTGGAGCTTACCCCCGTGTACCATACCATCACTTGCAATTGCTATTTTATTTCTAACCATGGACAATTCCCTGTATTTTTAATTGGAATTGTATAGCTGACTGTCACTCTTATTTGTCACATCACACGTTCTAAAAGATTCTACGGCAGGATCCATCCAGCTAACTGTTCAGACTGTTCGCTCGTTGATTTTAACCGAGGTTTATCAGTCAATCAATAGTGTTTTCCTCTCATAGCAAACCAGTACCAGTCAGGCTTATCAGCCTAGAAACCAACCAGCGAACAGGCTCGTTAGCTGTGTTAGCTAGAGTGTTAGCAAAGAAAAATCAACCAATAGCTAATTATTAGTTGGGTGGTAAGTAAAACATTAGCTGGACATATCACTTGCCCTCAACTAAGTGGGTGTTCGGATCCGGTGACTAAAATTTAGGAGGTATCATATGAGGGTGTCGCATGGGGTTTTCGGATAATAATAAAAAATAAATTACATAATCCGTCAGTACTCCACGAGACGAATTTATTAAGCCTAATTAATCCGTCATTAGCACATGTTTATTGTAGCACCACATTGTCAAATCATGGACTAATTAGGCTTAAAAGATTCGTCTCGTAAATTAGTCGCAAGCTATGCAATTAGTTTCGTAATTAGTCTATATTTAATACTTCATACATATGTCTAAACATCTGATGGGACAGCGACTAAAGTTTAGGAGGACAAACCAAACACCCTCTAAATTTTAGCTGTCTAAATTCACAGCAAGTTGCTTGCATGTGGACACACCCTATGTTCAGATTTAGAGAATCTTTGTTATACTTTGTAGAAAGCTAAAACGACACCTATAAATGGATAGGAGGAGTAACTATTAGTTGTAAGGGATCTAAACATGCCCTCCGTTACGAAGTATTACTAGTTTCACTGTCACATTTTCTCCCCATTTCAAACCGCACCAGGGGTAAGCAATGAGCTAATGTTGTTTCTTGTGTTGGCTCGATTGTGGAATCATCAAAAATCTAACAGAGTACCAATCAAATACTGGGATTGTACATCATTTTTAATTGGACGGAAAAAAATATCGATTTTCGAAGGCTGAGGGGAGGTGTAAATTGCAAGTGCTACCGGCTCTTGTGTTCTCGCAAGTTGCTTTGCCGTTTTAAGATTGTGTCATTCGATTTTTTTTTTCATTGTAAAAGTATATACTCCACCAGACAATTATATAGCTCTGAAATCTTTTACACAATTTTATCTAGCAGAAGGATCAATCTTGGTGAAAACGACGAGTGGCGAGGCATTTTATGGAGCAAAATGTATCATAACGGTCGGCGCCTGGACGAGCAAGCTGGTCAGGTCGGTCACCGGCATGGATCTGCCTGTGCAACCATGGCACACCCTCCTGTGCTACTGGAAGGCGAAGCCCGGCCGGGAGCGAGAGCTCACCCCGGAGGCCAGCTTCCCAACGTTCGGGAGCTATGGCGACCCCATCATTTACGGCACCCCGTCGATGGAGTTCCCGGGCCTGATCAAGATCGCCATGCACGGCGGATCACCGTGCGATCCGGACAGCCGTGGTGACATGGCCACGGACACTGATGACGACGACGCCCTGGTGGAGCCCGTGGCGCAGTGGATCCGAGACTTCATGCCGGACCACATCGACACTGTGGAGCGGCCGCTCAAGCCACTGCCGTGTATGTACTCCATGACCCCCGACGAGGACTTCGTGATGGACTTCATGGGCGGTGACTTCGGAAAGGACGTTGTTGTGGGCGCGGGGTTCTCCGGCCACGGATTCAAGATGGCACCGGCCATTGGAAGGATCTTGGCCGAGATGGCTATGGACGGGGAGACGGGCACGGCTGTGGCGGCTGGTTTGGAGCTCGGGCACTTCAGAATTGACAGGTTTGTGAACAGCCCGAAGGGGAACCTCAGGGATTATTGAGATCGTTAATGCAGATGAACACCGTGTCCTGCTGGAGATCCTACCTCCAACAGTCTTCAGAATGATCTCAATACAAGCTCTCCTTCCATGAATCATGTGTCAAAGTCTGTTCACTGTGATCTATTGAACATGTATTCATTATTCAGTTATACTGCATTCAGCTATAGATGACTATTACAGAAACTCATAAACGTATCTGTTGAGAACTTGCGATATACAGCTTCAGATCATTTGCTGTCAAAACAGCCGCATGTCGCTTGTGGTAGCTGCTAAGTACCTCAGTCTTGTCTATTAGTCTGATATCTAGCACGAAAGAGACCTGGCTATCAGTATCTCAGCTCATCCATTTGCCGGACATGGCCACACGGGTAGAACGCCACAAAGGTTGCTCAGGAACATGTTGGAATTCAACATAGCTCCAAGACTGCGTCTTTCCAAACGTCACGTCTTGCTCTATGTACATGTACATCCGCCCTCACTCTTAGTCTCTTACTCATGATCAATGGAAAGAATTAACTTGATCACTGATGCTTGCTTTATGAGTACTTTGCGGCACAGAGACGACAGCAAAGCCTGGACGTCTCCTGAGCCGGGTCATATACCTTATCTCATTTGATCCATATATCTAGAGGCTGGAGCGTATCCACAAATGCCTGACGAATAACAGAGCATCTCCTTTCACGATCTGGAGTAACCTGCCGAGTCATTGGTCAAGGTCTTGTGGATGGAGATTGGAGATGGCAACGGCGCTAGTTGTAATTTTCAGAGACGAAGTTCAGGCATCACACGTGCTCAGAGTGGCGCAATTGACTTGACCCGAACTTTGGCCTTGGTGGTGAGTCAGCAACTCTGCGTAAGACTGTCTCCAACAACCGTTACCCAAAACACAAGACCCATTCCACGTTTGGATAGCGTTACAGGTAAATGGTTTAATACACATTTTTGGTTTTATCCAACAACAGGACCCAAAGAGAACTCTTTCTACAAATGGGTCTTCAGAAGAGAGGATACTCAGATTTGGGTTATACATCTCCTGACATCTAAAATAGGTCTTCCATATAGATACTTTATTGGAGGCTATAGGTATTATATTGGAGACCCATTTTAAGGTTGGGTCAGCCTAAGCACAGTGATGTTGGGTGGTGGTTGTCACAAGGATACACGTTCCTCCTTCCCACACACTTGCAGGCAATAATGAAGTTTTTAGTCGAATTTGTTTGCAGAGGTACTGACTCATCGACACGTCGTCTGTGCTTCGTTGATGGGAAGGAACTATGCAAGAATTGCATGTCTGAAAATTTTCAATGAAATAAGCTTTTATAAATATCTCCTATATGCATTTTCTAAACGTTGAAGCCTTGAAGCCGTTCAAGGTGCTACTATACCTGAACTTTCACAGTTAGCGCCTAGCGGCCTTTCATGGCAGGCCTCGTGGCACCGCTTGAATCGCAGGTCACAGCTAGTGTGTATCCAGCCACGGGCACCATTCCACCAAGTCCCCGCAGCTATCCGGCTTGGAGTCAACGTGCGATGCGAGCCGGCTTAGGGCTCGTTTCGGAACGAGTCCGAACGATTCTCATTTGAAATGATTCACTAATTTGTATAATCTTAATAAGCTGGAATGGTTCCTAGTCCAATCCAAGGTAACCAAAATGGACCCTCAGGCTGCTAGTCTCACTGCCAGTGGTGGTGACTGCGGCGTGGTGCATTTGGCGTTAGTATGGTCTAGTTTTATAAGGTTTAGCAAGTTATTATCCAGATTGCATTACAGATTGACTTTGCAGTCATACATTGAGCGACGCCATGGATGATTTAGTGTCTTAGTCTGGACGAGTGCTGCTCTAGCTCGTACAGTATTAGTTTTTACTAAAGGTGCAAATAACATAAGAGTTTGAACTTAACTCGTGAATTATATTTATGACAACTAATAAGATCAAAATTCTAAAGTCATTTTTTCTCTCGAATGCGCAAGAGAGGTGCGTGTCATTTCATTGATAGAAAGGAAAAAGATCCGATGACAAGTCAAAATTCTAAAGTCAAATTCAGGATCTATGATGCCATGAGACATAGGTCATTGTAATTTAAACTAAGACTTTAATTGATTGTATATATTTAGTACACACGGATGTGCTCTCTCAAGGCTAATATGTGTCTTTGGTTGGGCTTTTCAATCCGCTTTAAAAAAAAAGGTGTAAAACGATAACCTTTGAGTACAGAAGGACAAAACTACAACCAACCATAAACAGACAAATCAACAGGAGATTCCAAACCTGCTGTGCCATCCCTGTAATCGTGATGGAGATGCCGCCTAATCGGACAAGCAGAGCGTCTGGCCCTGAGGACCTGCTTATGGCTAAGGATCAACCAGACATTCCATCATCATCATCAACCGAATAGTAGAACAAAGGCCCATCTCTTCACCAAGTCATTGATCAATACAATTGACTCCTGAACTGTTCTGTTTTTCATTTGTCACCAGTCAGAAAGACGTGTTTTTTGGAGGTACCTGAATTCGAGCACGTTCCTTCACTGTTCTTGCAATGTACCGTCTGTATCGGGCAAACGGCTGAGGGGCAGGTCTCTTTCGTGCTGGATTTCGATGAATAGTTTTTTAGATCAAGTGGATTCCATGAATAGTTGACTAAAGATAGGTCGCTACGCCAAGTGATTGCGCTATGTGAAAGACAAAAAAGAAAATAATCTGCACAATAACGAACTTGATTTGCTATCATTCAATATAACTGATCAGACCAGTTTATTACTGCAGTCTGCAGAACACTTTATGCATACGTACTGAAACATTCGTCTGCAAGACTACAGCAAACTGAGGAGATGCGCACACTTCAATGTTTGAAAATACAAGAACCCAACGGACACTAAAAAAACGAGTTGCCAAGAACACACTTTGACATCAAAACATGAAATGGAGCCCCGTCTCCGATCCAGCAAGCCACGCGGTTGCCATTGCCATCAGCCTTGAATGAATTCTACAGCAGGTTTCCTTTGGGATTTTCCGCAAACCGGCCGATCCTTAAGGGGCGGAGGTCTACTCCGGCCTCGGCCGCCGTCGTGGCCTCCCCGTCCATGGCCATCTCGGCCAGGATCCTCCCGACGGCCGGTCCCATCTTGAAGCCATGGCCAGAGAACCCGGCGCCGACGACGACGTCCTTGCCGAACTCCCCGCCGAGGAAGTCGACCACGTAGTCGTCGTCGGGGGTGACGGAGTACATGCAGCACTGCCGGATGACCGGCCCGCCGGCGGTGTCGACGTGGCCCGGCATGACGGCGTCGATCCACCGCGCCACGGGCTCCACCAGACCGCCGCCGGCCACGCCCACGCCAGTGGACCAGTCCCTGCCGTCCGGGTCGCAGGGCGGCCCGCCGTGCATGGCGACCTTGATCAGCCCCGGGAACTCCATCGACGGGGTGCCGTAGATGTAGGGGTCGCCGTAGCTGGCGAACGTCGGGAAGCCGGCCTCCGGGGTCAGCTCCTGCTCGTGCCCGGGCTTCACCTTCCAGTAGCAGATGAGCGTGTGCACCGGCTGCACGGGAAGTTCCAGGCCCGTCACCGTCTTGATCAGCTTGCTCGTCCAGGCGCCCACTGTCACTATGCATTTGGTGCCATGGAACTCCTCGCCGCTAGACGTCCTCACCAAGATTGTCCCCTCTCCTGATCGAGCATGATGAGAAGTATGTAAAGAATCAGAGCTCTAGTTAGTCCATGGATTTTGTTTTCATCACTTCGTATTATATGTTTTTTTATGACGTATATAAAGCAGAGAGAAAAGATAAACTGAATTATTGTGCCGTGCAAACAATAGTACTCATGGATGGTAGAGGCTAGAACTTTATTTCTTTATTAAAAAAAACAATAGTACTAACATTCAAGGACTTGTTTGTTGGACTGTCGGTTGGTGTTGTATTGGCACATGTTCCACAAACGATACTATTATGAAACAAAAGGAGTGCACTGAACGAGAATATCTGTTACAATAATTGGCAATCATGTGCAAAAAGATACGGTGCGGCAAGTTGTACAATTTCCAATTAAAAAGGAAAGAGAAAGGCGCAACAACATGTTTAAATTGCCTTTTGCAAGTGATGATGGTACATTTTTTGTGATATGTTGCTACTTATAACAACGACGCATATGTTCTAGCTACAACTTTTGTCAGTGATGTTATTTACTCTTTAGTCTTTACTCTTAATAAAATTATGTAAAAAGAGAATGGAGTTGCTTGATGGTAGACCAACATTGCAAAGGAGCGTATTGACCGACGTCAATGTGTGCATGCTTATAGATCATGAATCATGATGAGCACACGTACAATTTTCAAATTTTTTGAAGCTTCTAGTTAAGGTTCCAAATGAATTTGCAAAAATACAAGCTTATATAAGGCATTTTTTATATATATAAATGCACCCGAAACACCCCTCGTCCAAATCCTTCGCGTCGACTTACTATTTTACATTGCACATAGTCTTGAAACTATGCTAGCTCTTGAGTCTTGACTAAACTCAATATATGGCCATGTTCGTTTGGGCTTGTTTGGCTTATAAGCCATGGTTGAAAGTATTATTAACTAATTTGAGGTGAGAGAAAAATATTGTTTATTAGCTAATAAGCCATGGCTTATAAGCTGAATACGACCCAGCGAACAGGCTGTATATGCTCCACGCTACGCAGATGATTAATTGGTTAGACGCGAAATGCACGCCAGAGCCATCCGTGACAGTAAAGGAACGTGTGAGCCTATAGACAGATCGAGCTCACAAGTCACACCCAACTCGATCTTGCTTGCTTGCCACTTGCCAGTGACTCGTCAGAGCGTCACGGTCACTCACATGCAGGACAGCAGGAGGCGCGCGCATGGCGCATGCTTCCAAGAGAATTAGTTTGGGTACGGTGGAGGAAGAAGACAGTGCACGAGACAAAACGCGCTCACCTTCACCTCGCTTGGAGCCGGTGACGACGTCCACCACCTCAGTCATGTCCCTGAGGACGGCGCCGTTCTTGACGGCGAGCGCCTGGAACATGGCCACGGCCTTGGTGGCCTTCATGACCCCGCCCAGCTCGCTCGGCGCCGCCGTCCACCCGTCGGGGACCCTGAACACGCCCGCCCACGGCCAGGACGCCGCCGACGGCTCATCCTCGCCGGCTGCGGTGGCAAGGGCGACCTCGGTGGCGCCGCCGTTCCTGATGGCGGCGACGAGCGCCGGGTCGTCCCGCGGGCCCAGGTCGAGGTGCGGGGTGGGCGTGAGCACGGCGTACCCGGCGTCGGCCTGGGCCTCGTCCCAGAGGCGCCGCGACAGGCGCACCATGGGCGGGTAGTGCGCCTGCGGGTACGTGGCGCGGATGGTGCGCGACTCGCCGTGCGAGGAGCCCCGGTGGTGGAGCAGGTCGAACCGCTCCAGGAGCAGCACGCGCGCGCCGCGGGAGGACGCCGCGTACGCCGCGCAGCTGCCCATGATGCCCGCGCCCACCACGATCACGTCGAACCGGCCGTGGCCGCCCTCGCCGTTGGACGCCGCCATGGCGCTTGCTTGCTGGCTTGCTGCTCCCTCCTCGCTGTCGCTGCGCTCTTGAGTTTCTTATGAGGCGAGTAGACGACTGGCCGCTGTGCGAGGGAGTGTAGTGTCGTAGGACTAGACTTGGTGAGAGGGAGTGTAGTGTTGTAGGACTAGACTTGGTGAGAGGGACAGCGCACGGAGGGACAAAGAAGCTTGTCTTGTCTTGCTTACCAACAGCAGATCCCCATCTTCTAGTCGTGATGAGTTATTGGCTTTTCTAAAATCACATTGATCATACATTACAAAAGGAAAATGAATGGTACAGATGACGAATTGATAAAAACTCCTATCCAAAACTCAAGGCCGAACACGTAGGAGAATTTTTGTACTGACTGTCGTAAAAAAAAACCACGATGTATAAAATCCCGGCGTTCGAAAACCGTCCTAGAAAGTGTGCAACAACTTTGCCCGTTTGATAGCTTGATGAGCACAGAGACCAAAGGTAGGTCTCTTGGCGCTGAGTAGGCTGTGTGCTGGCAATTACTGAAGCCGACGTATGCTGACCGAAATGGATGTGCCCTGCAGTGGCAGTGTTTATCTTGGGGTGCATGGGGCCAAAATGCACGCTCCTAGCTAGCGTGCTATCATTTCAGCCGTCCGTTTGTGCCCAAAACGTGAAAGAGGGTGCGCGCTGCGGGTCTACCACGTCTGGCCAGTGGTCGGCCCACGCGCGCTCCACGCCGCACATTGCACCGCCGCCGCCCGGCGTACATGCATGTATCGTGTGTGCATGATTGCATCATCTTTGCCTCGGTAAATCACCGCTCACCTTCGTCGGTAATCTTTTGCAAGCATTGGCAAGACGCCGGCGGTCAATGCCTACACGTAAAAAAGTTTTTTTATGTGCATATACACCTTTTTGTATTTTTTTTATTGGACAGATCAGATCTCAAATGCATAAGAGCATGTGAAACATGTCCCTCACCGATGTGGTTCTAGGTTTCAGTTTGACAAATCTGTTGCTAAGGCTAATGGCTTAGTTTACTCGAATGTGGATCTCTCTCCTTTCCTCTAAAAATGTTAAAAAATAATCTTGAAAAGGCATATGATATAGTTTTTTTTTATCAAGCATATGATGCAGTTGGCAGTTCCTTGAGATATGCTGACTTCGAGAGGCTTTGTTGCGAGATGGAGAGGCTAGATTATAAAAGTTGTCAGTTTTTTTTTTGGTGGTGGTGGGTGGGTGGGTGTGTGGTGGTGGGGTGTGTGTGTGTGGGTGTGGGTGTGGTGGGGGAGAGGGGACTTCTCCTGGCATTAGATTGAATGATGAAAAATAGTTGGCCTTTAATCTTGTTCTAGATGTTTTCACCAGAATGTTAAGTAAGACAGCCAGGAAAAAAAACTTACTAGAGAGGGTGTTACCTTCAATCTATGAAGGGGACATCATTAGTTTACAATATGTCGACGATGCACTGATTTTTCTAAACAATGATATAAATGTAGCTAGAAATTTAAATTAGTTAGTGATGTGCTTTGAGGAGAGTTGTCCGGTACCAAGATCAATTATTATCATAAAAGTGACCTATAAACTATTGGTGAGGAGGAGGAGGATGCCAATTTTATGGCAGATTTTTTTGTTGTAAAATAACTAAATTTCCTATGAAATATTTAGGAGCTCCTCTACACACTTCTCCAATCTTAGAAAATAAATGACAAAATAATCAAAAGGGCCGTTGCAGTTTGGAGAGGTAGGCTCAGTCATATGGGGTAAATTGACCCTTCGAAGTCTTGCCTAGTAATCATTCCCATCCAAAAGATGTGGCTTCTTTGGTCAAACTTTAATTTAGGATCTGTTTAGTATAGTTCTAGCTCTAGGATATCCAGAAGATCCAGGCCAGATTTGTTAAGAAGTTTGTAGATTAAACTAAAATAATTTAAATAGTAATATCTAGACCAAATTAAAAACAAAATAAATGATCTAAATTCTCTCCATGTATTTTCATATTTAGCTCCATGATTTCTTGGAGCTACAAATTCGCAGCTCCAAGAGATCCATCTTTTTTATTTTTGAAGATTGGTGTTCTTGCCCGCCTTTAAAAGCCAATTGCTATTTGACCATTGATTTTTTCAACTTTGTGATTTAACTATTGACTTTGAATACATGTTGAACAAATATTTCAAATAAATGATTTAACTTTGTCCTTAATACATCTTGAAATCGAACTATGTATCGTCCTTTGACGCATCTTGGAATCCAACTCAGTACAATCATTGGATACATGTTGTTCTAACTCATACAAGCATGGATCGTGAGTCTAGGTCACATACGAGAAATAGAGGAGTGTGAGAGTATTGTGGAAAGTAAAAAAAGACTATTGGAAGATCATCTTTCTCTTTAATATTAGGGATAAATTGCTTGACCTTTTACAAATCTCGTTCCATGCAAACTCAAGGTGTCTGAACTATATATTAACCCACTGAGACAAAGAATTAGCTATCCAAGAGTGTAAAAAGTGACCAATATAATATAATGCTTGAAATTTGTCTATATATGTGAATAGAGATCAACACTAGAAGCAAAATTATTTCCATAAAACCTAAAGTAATAAGTGCAATCGAGATAATAATGTCATATCTATTCTAAATTCCTACCGTTAGATCTTCCTCTATTCTAAATTCCTACCGTTAGATCTTGATCATGTGATCCCTTTCCCCTTTATATATGCCCTCCTCTTCTTTCTTCCTCCCTAACCCTAACTTCATTGCGGCGGCGGCCGCCTACCTTACAAGCCACTTGACCTATACCTCTAAACAATCTCTCCTTGTCTTCACCTTGCCTTGTTTGTGCGCCGGCCGCCGCCTACCACCCTCGCCCTTCTATTTGCTCTCACAATTGACAGCTACATCTTAGAGCCCGCAATCAGGATAGCCAGATCCAGCTAGATATACCTCTGAGAGCATGGAGAATCGCCATGGAAGTGGACCATTCTACCGTCCACCAATGCAAGAAATTCATCTGCCTATGCAAGAAATTGTGACTCAGAAGGTAAGACACTCAAGTGTTGGCACCTGAATTTTGCTATACATAAGTTTCCTCCCTTTGCTTTGACAAGTTGTAAGCGCTTTTTTTCTTCATCTTGTCTAGCAATATTTGTTTATGGCACCTCCACCTCATGAAATTCGTTCGCCCATGCAAGAAATTCGTCCGCCTATGCAAGAAATTGGGACTCGTAAGGTAAGAACTTGGGTGTTGGCACCTGAATTTTGCTATTCATAAGTTTTTTTTCCTTTGCTTTGACAAGTTCTAAGCGCTTCTTTCGTTCATCTCGTTTAACAATATTTGTTTATGGCACATCTGCCTCATGAAATTCGTCCGCCTATGCAAGAAATCCGTCCACCTATGCAAGAAATCCGTCCACCTAGGCAAGAAAGTGGGACTCACAAGGTAAGAAACTCGGGTGTGGCACGTGAATTTTGCTATTCATAAGTTTTCTCCCTTTGCTTTGACAAGGACTTTGACAAGTTGTACGCGCTTCTTTCCTTCGTCTTATCTAACAATATTTGTTTAGGGCACCTCCGCCTTATAAAATTCGCCCGCTCATGCAAGAAATCAATCCGCCTATACAAAAAATTGGGACTCACAAGGTAGGTGTTGGCACTTGAATTTTGCTATTCATAAGTTTCCGCCCTTTGCTTTGACAAGGACTTTGACAAGTTGTAAGCGTTTCTTTCTTTCGTTTCGTGTAGCAGTATTTGTTTATGGCACCTCTGCCTCATGAAATTCGTCCACCCATGCAAGAAATTTGTTCACCTATGCAAGAAAGTGGGACTCATAAGGTAAGAAACTCAGGTGTTGGCTCCTGAATTTTGCTATTCGTAAGTTTCCTCCCTTTGGTTTGACAAGGACTTTGACAAGTTGTAAGCGCTTCTTTCCTTCGTCTCGTCTAGCAATATTTGTTTAGGGCACCTCCGCCTCAAGAAATTCGTCCGCCCATGCAAGAAATCCGTTCGCCTATACAAGAAATTGGGACTCACAAGGTAAGAAACTCTGGTGTTGGCACCTGAATTTTACTATTCATAAGTTTTCTCCATTTGCTTTGACAAGTACTTTGACAAGTTATAAGCGCTTCTTTCCTTCATCTCATCTAGCAATATTTATTTATGGCACCTCCACCTCATTGTTCTTCCTTGTTTTTGGTGACTCATTACCGTTAGATCTACTGGCACTTTGTGTGATGTCTCATCCTATTTCTAGCACTACCCAATTAACGGTCCCTCACCTCTCATCGCTGGTGACAGTGAGAAACCCTCCAACACTGAATCTAAGAGCAATTTGAAGAAGGGTGTAGAGAGGAAGACCAATTTTCGTGGTCCCATTATCGAACTAGTTCTAGTCATCCTTATCAAACAGAAAAATTATTATGCCGTAGATGATATTTTTGTGTATACATAAGATTGCATAATGTGGATGGAATCTTAGTTTCACCAACACATTAATGTACTCTAACATCATCATAGTGTCAACGTTGAATGCTGCCGATGCTTAAGAGCCAGGCTAATAATATAGCCGGCAGGCCGACTTGTAAGGATCTTTGTAGTCTTCTCTCAGTCCACTCATATAGTAGTCAGCTCTTCGCTATTACTCCCTTCGATCCATTTTATCTGGCGCAAGTTAGAATGACACTGTCTTCTAGATTACACTTGGACCATTTATTTGCTTTAGATTATATTATTTATACTTATAAACTTATAATCATCGGATAGTATAATTTTTTATAAATCTAATCATATAAAGTTTATATTATAATAGTTAAAAATTATTAGCCTAATTATTGGTCAAAGCTTTTAAAGTTTGAATCTTGATATACGTGTGTGTCAGATAAAATAAACCGAAGAGAGTAATACATGACCCACTTGTCTTTCTCGTAGAGTCTTCGGTTCTCGTATCTAAGCCGACTATAAATTTATCATGTCTTTCCTCCGCTTCACCATTTAGCTGGCTGCCTGCTATTATACTTAGCTTT